CCTTTCCAACATACTTATGTTATCTTTACTAAAGGAATCAGTTCTCATAGTGCTGCTGCTGCTGCTGGTGCTTCCTTTTCTTCCTCTTCTACCACCACCACGTCCTCCTCCTCCTCCTCCCGCCCTCCCCCCCTCCTCCTCCTCCATCCACCACCACCTCCACCTCCTCCTCATTTCTTCTTTGTGGTCTTCATTGTCTTCTTAGTCTTCTTTGTCATCTTCTTTGTCTTCTCTGTCTGCCTCCTCTACTTCCCCTCCCCCTCCTTCCCTTCTTCCGTGTCCCTCCCTCTCCTCCCTTCCTCCCTTTCTCCTTTTCTTCCCACTCCTCTCCCCTCCTTCTCCTCCTCTCCTTCTATCTTTTACCTCTTCCTTCTCCTCTTCTCACTCTTCTCCTCCTCCTTCTTCTCCTTCCCTTCTCCTTCTTCTCCTCCTCCCCCTCCCTCTCCTTCCCCTTCTCCCCTTCCTTCCTGCCTCTCTGCCTCCTTTTCTTCTCCCCCTTCTCTTCCCTCCTCCCTTCCCTCATCCTTCTCTTTCTTCTCCTATTCCTTCTCCTTCTCTTCCTCCTCCTGCTGCTCCTCCTCCTCCTTTGAGTTCGCCTTCTCCTCCTCTTCTTCCGCCTCCTCCCTTCCTATTCCATTCTCTGTCCTCCTCTTCCCCCTATCGCTCCCTTCTTCATCCCCCCTCCTTCCTTCCTTCTTCCTTATTTTTTTTGCTTTTGGGGTAGACCCAACAGTGATCAAGGGCTCTTATCAGCTTAGTCCTCAATGGTTACTCCTGGCAGTGCTCAGGAGACAATGAGATCAAACCCAGGACTCCTGCATGGAAAGCTTACACTTAATTTGTTAACTATCTCTCCAGTCCTGTTTCTTCATAGTCTACATCTTATTTTCTCTCTACCCCACCTGAATCACTTAGGTGTTTGGAAGCTCTCTACCCTGTTCACTTTGTTATAATCTATTTCTAGTTCATTTATTTCATGTGCTGAATACATGCTAGATCTCTGCTAGTTTGTAGCATCAATGAAGTATCTTGGTACAGTACTCCTTCCAGTTAAATTTCTTTCTGAATTCAATTAGATTTCTGAGTTTTCTTGTACCTTTTAAGGTTTCTTCATGAGAATTCTTTTGTGTTCTCCATTATATTGCATTTTTCTCTGTCTTTAAGGTTGATGTCTGGAGAATTCCTTTTTAATGCCGTTTCTTAGGACTTCATATTGTTATTAAGTATATGTCTTTTTGTTTTTGAAGTAGACACCTTTTTGCTTTGGTTTTGTCAGCCTTTGCTTTTAACTTTAATTTAGTAGCTTAAGGGACTATGCTTCAGTCTTCCACTACCCCTTGATTGGCACTAAGCCTGTTATGGCTATTGTTGTTTGCATCACCATGTGGAACTCTGGGTTATTAAACATAATCTCTAAATTGTTGAGTATAGTCACTGGATTGAGCATAGTCACTAGTTTGTTGAGCATTGGGTCACTGTGGATGGAGGTGGTGAAGGGTATGTAGAAGTATTTTCTTTAATGAAATCTAGCTGGGTGGAGGGTACATAGAAGTTTATATATATATGTGTGTGTGTGTATATATATATATATATAAATTTTATTTATTGAATCACCGTGAGAGCAGTTACAAAGCTTTCGGGTTTAAGTCTCGGTCATACAGTGAAACACCCATACCTTCACCAGTCCCCATTCTCTACCACCAAAAACCCCAATATACCCCCATCCCACACCCTCCCCCTACCTGTAGGGCAGATGATTTCAAAACCTCTCTCTCCACTTTGATTACATTCAATACTTTGACACAAGATCCACCATTATTATTTGGGATTTTACCCCAACACTCAGATCTGCTGAAAAGGCAATAGTAGGCAATTTGTTTTCTATTTCTGGTTATGAATAACATATGATGTCGTGCGGCTGTAGTAGTGGCTATGCGATTTTGAAATTCTGAAATTTTAACAATTAAATCTGGAGGGATTTCTGCAAAAACCTGCTGGGTTTCAAGATTTGTTCCTGAGTCTCTGGGATCATGGACATTAAACAGCTTGATCAGAAGCCAGAGAGGCCTCTTTGGGACGGGGAGGAAAGGGCCGGCTCTACCCCCGTCCCATGAGGCCCCACATATCTTGTCACTGCGGGCCCAAACCTGACTGTCCAGTGACCTCTGGAAGATGGTGGCCACCGGGTCGCCAGGGGGAACAAGCAAAGGCACGAAACCTATTCCTACTTGGGGTGGCCCAACACTGGTAACCTACTGCAGGGACTGGATGCATTTCTGCAAAAAGCCGCTGGGTCCCAAGATTTGTTTCTGAGTCTCTTGGAACATGGCCATTAAGATGCTTGATCAGGAGCCAGAGAGGCCATTTGTGGGCAGCGATTCTGGATCTCGTTGGGACTGGGAGGAAAGGGCCGGCTCCTCCCCCATCTCGTGAAGCCACATGTGTCTCATCACTGCGGGCCCAAACCTGACTGTCCAATGGCCTCTGGCTGATGGCAGCCATAGAGCCTCCAAGGGGGAGCAAGCAGAGGGACAGCACCCTTTCCCCCCTGGCGTGGCACGGCGACAGTAACCTAATGCGGCGTCCAGATGCATTTCTGCCAAAAGCCACTGGGTTTCAAGATTTTTTTCTGAGTCTCTGGGATCATGGCTGTTACACAGTTCGATGAGGAACCAGAGAGGCCATGCCTCCAATATAGCTGAGCCGGAGGTGGTTTGTGGGTGTATCTCCCACATACCTAACTTTTGGCCGTTTATTTTCTTTGTAAACCTTGCCCCATGTTTTTGGGGTCTGGCCAAAGGCACAGCAGTAATTTTGGGGTATCTGGAAGTCTGAAGGCGCCATCAGGCTGCTGATACACTCGCCTCATAGGTACAGATTGACCTGTTGGCGGCACCATACCCCCTGAAGTTCTTCTTTTTATGAACTTGTCTCATCTCTCGTGCCTCTGCTTCCTACCTTCTTTGGGGTCCTGGGCCTATGACTTGGTTGTCAGAATTCCCTGGAGCATTGGTGTCAGTGAAGGCAGGATGGGAAGAAGATAAACCTCCCGTTTCCGTGCTATCCTTCATACCAGGTTTCTGACATCCTTGGGATTGACTTGGGCCATGGGTGTGACCTCTGTTGTCTCTGTCCTGTCTGCTACTCTCAGAAACTTTGGATCTAGCTGTCAAGTTGATAATTTCTGCTTCTTCCTGCCCCTCCCATAGCCCTGATTTACCCGCCTTGGGATAGAAATGTGACTGCCTCCAGTGTCCTGGAATGACAAACAGTCACTCTGGCTAATAAAGTTGATCAGTTAGGGCCAGAATGTTAGAACAGTGGGTAGAACATTGCATTGCATGTACCCAACCTGGTTTTTCTCCACAGGACACCATATGGTATCCCCAGCCATACCAGGAGTGATCCCTAAGCACAGGGCGAGGAGTAAGCCCTAAGCACCGCTCATTGTGCCCCCCATCAAAAACAAGTAAAGAAATAAAGTTGATCAGTGGGATAAAGAGGAGGAATTGCCACTCAGTGCCTCTCTTGCAAAACACAGTACCCAAAAGAAGAGAGAGAGAACAAGGGGGAATACCCTGCCACAGAGGCAGGATGGGACGGGGGGATGGGGGTTGGGGGGATGCTGGGACCCATGGTGATGGATGACGGGCACTGGTGGAGGGATGGGCACTTGATCATTGTATAACTGAAACCCAAGCATAAAATTTGTAAGTCTATAACTGTACCTCATGGTGTTTCACTAATAAAAAAAGAAAAAAATATCAAAAAAAAGAGGAGGAATTAAGAAATAGCTTACATCTTCATGATATTGAAGTCACTGTCCTCAAGCCTATATTTTAAGCTTAATCTTTGCTGTCTTGTTATGTTTTCTTGATGGTTTAATTTTTCTTTCTTTTCTATTTTTTGAGTTTTGGGTCATACCCAGTGATGCTCAGAGGTTATTTATGGCTCTGAACTCAGGAGTTACTCCTGCTGGTGCTTGGGGTACCATATGGGATGCTGGGAATTGAACCTGGATCAGCCTCGTGCAAGGAAAAGCCCTACCCACATACTATCCCTCCGGCTCCAATGGTTTAATTTTTCAAGAAAATTATGAGTACGCTTTTTTCAGTATACTCATAGTATACTGATATATACTGGTATACTATAATATATCATATACTATATATTACATAATATATAGTATAATACACTATATACTATATAATATTATATACTATATAACATATCGTATATGATATATACTACTTTTATTAGCTTATCAGTAATCTTAACACCCTTAAAAGCATCATAGTGTCAGGGTATCTTATACTTACAGGGATGTTTGGGAGATATGAGGATACATCTGTCTAATAAGCTAGTTCAGCAACCATTTGAAATTTATATTGGCCATATTTAAGATGCTGGAGTACATGCCATGGGATGTGTGTGTGTGTGTGTGTGTGTGTGTGTGTGTGCGCGTGTGTGTGTAAAATTGTTCCTAATCTTTAGAAATTCACCATATAATAGGAAAGATAAAAACTGTAGAAATTGTAGCATAAGATAGACTGTAGAAACACAGTTGTTTCTAAGTATATATATGTAGGCTGGAATTATAAGAAAAAGGATCATTTATATAGAATTATATTAAATTGTAAAGTAAACATACTTACACACGGATAGAAACTGAGATATAATATGTTACTTTTGATTGCTTATAGTAGAGTAACATTAACAGTTCTGTAGTTAATAGATATAGGAAGAAAGCTGCTAAACCATGTAAAAGTTTATAAAAATAAATCTTAATTTCAAAACATGTTTTAGAGAAGTAACTTGATGAATATTTATTATGTCTCATTATTTGTATTTATTGATCTGTAAAGTAATTGGGAAGGTCTTTTACTTTTTTGCTCTGCAGGGCTTAAAGCTGTGACTCTGAACTTATTGGGGTTATTCATTGGAGTAATATTTGAAATTCTATAATAGCTAAAGAACTGCTTGCTTTCATTTTCAACTAGGTTCTTCAGGCATGGCCACTGATAGAGAAGAGGACATGTTGGCATGGTCATGCTGGAGGTGGACTCCACACAGATCCAAAAGAAGGGGTAAGAGCCAATAACATGAAACTGGAAATTCTTGTTGATGTTTGTGCTTACATACAAAAATATATTGGCATATAGATAAGAGACAGATATTCAGGATTATTATATTTCAAAATATTTCAGTTTACTCCTATGTCTGCAGGTTTTCTAATATAAGACCATATGACTTGACCATAGCTTCAGAGATGAGATTTTTCTCAATTGGAAATTATTAGCATCAAATTTTTGTTTTTTTAACATTAAATATCACTGGTTAAAGTCATTGTATAATCTAGCCTTATAACTAATTAGTAAATGAGATTTAATGTAATTTTTGTGTCTTTTGAAGTTAAAACAATATGGACAGTCCTTCAGAAACAAGAAATTTAGCTTCCATATGACCCCACAATACCATTTCTGTGAATATATCTCGAGGATGCAAAAAAGAACAGTAGGAATGACATCTGTACCTATATGTTCACTGCAGTACTGTTCACAATAGCCAAAATCTGGAAATAACCCAAGTACCCTAGAACAGAGATGACTGTTTGGTACATCTACACAATGGAATACTATGCAGCTGTTAGGAGAAATGAAGTCATGAAATTTGCTTATAAGTGGATAGACATGCAGAGTATCAGTCTAAGTCAAATGAGTCAGAAAGAGAAGGACAGATATAGAAGGGCTGCACTCATTTGTGGAATATAAAACAATATAACATTAGGCTGATACCTAAGGATAGTAGATACATGGGACAGGAAGATTGCTCCATAACTGGAAGCCTGCCTCATGAGCAAAGAGGGGAGAAGGCAGCTGGAATAGAGAAGGGATTACTAAGAAAATGATAGCTTGAGGAACTGCTCAGGATGGGAGATGTGTGCTGAAAGTAGATAATGGACCAAACATGATAACCTCTCAGTATCTGCATTGCAAACCTTAATGCCCAAAAGTATAGAGAGAGTATGGGGAATCATGTTTGCCATGGAGGCAGGGGGAGGGTGGGAGAGGGGGGTATACCTGGTGGGGAATGTGAACTGGTAGAGGGATGGGTGTTTGAACATTGTGTGATTGTAACCCAAACATGAAAGCTTGTAACTATCTCACAGTGATTCAATAAAATTTTTTAAAAATGTCCCCTAGCTTTAAGGTAAATCATCAACATATTATATTTGTTTATTCATATTTTTATCACCGTTATTATCACACAGCCAAGCAAGACAGTGGGGCCACTGAAAATGACATGACTTACTTGTACTATACTTTTTCTAAGATAAGAAAATGATTTTGGTATACTGCGATTCATTTCTTTATCTGACCATCTTTCTCTGGCTTTGCTTTGACTCAAACTTGGTATGTGGTATCTCTGGGTAGAAGAGATATTTTCAGGATTAGTGGTTAAGTGAACAAATTTATTACGACACATTTTCTAAATTATAGGGAGAAATACTGTTTATCTTATTGTTAGATGACGGTTGGTAAGAGCATATTTCCAGTATTTCTCTCTGTATTTCGTTGATAAACTTTGTAGCTCCTTCCTTTCACAAAAATAAAAACTTACCACAATTTTATGTTATAACTTATTTTTGTATACCACTGTTCTTCATGACTGTCTTTCAAAAGAGCAAAATAAGATAAAACACACATAAAAACATTAATGTAAAAACAATATAGTGATATTTATTCATCCATGAAATTGTCTGGTATATGTGCCTGCTTTCATGATTATCTGTCACCAGGAGTTCTTAAGTAATGTTGGTAAATGCTGTTCCAAACACAACTAAAAATATGTTCACTAGTAAAGAGAAAGCAGTCATTTCTCTGAGGACCAAACTTCAAAATAGTTTCTTTATTCTCCAGAAAAATAAAAACAATACAAAAATAATTATACTTTATGTGTAAAGTACACTTTCCATATATTTGTTTACCTCTTTATCCTTCTTATCCTGCTATCTTTATGCTAGTGAGGTAAAATGAACCATAGAATAATGGAGCTTGAACTCTACACCAAAAGAAAAAAAATATGGTGTTGTAGTTAAAAAAGCTAATAAACTCTGGAGCCAGACTGCCTGGATTTAATTATTGTCTCTATCACTTTTTGGTAGAATGACCTTTAGCAAGTTATTTAATATCTGATTACATCACTTTTCTCATCTGTAGAAAGAATGGTTATCATGCCAAAGGGGATTCAAATGAGTTGCACCATGTGAAATTCTTAAATAGTGCATGACGCATAATAAGTTTTCAGTGGATATTAGCTGCTGTTTTTATAATGTCTTGTTTTTATAATATCAGTCAGTATATATTTATTTAAACAGTGCATATTGAATGGATGTTTTTCGCCAGTTCTCTGCCAAGTACTATGGATGACAGTTATGAGCTTTATAGTTTAGATGTTCTAACATCTAAATCAAGGACACAAATAATTCAGAACTTAATTTAAGGATAATTTCCCAAACTTTGATGTTTTGGGTGTATGTATTAGAAACACATCATTGATTGAATGCTTTAAAAATTGATAATGGAGCAGTCAGATAGTTTTGGTATAAATCTTGATGAAATTAGAAGTGAATAACAGTTTTGAGTATTAAAAATGGATGATTAGGAAAATCATAGTATGAGTCTGCAGTTATGATAAAATCAGTGGATACACACCAGTGCTCAAGAATGCCTGTATGATATGGAGAAATTGGTTTATTAAATATTTTTAAAATTTTTTTTGTGGTTTTGGATGTTACTCAGGTCTTACTCCTGGCTCTGTGTTCACTGCTTGATTACTCCTTGTCAACTCAGAGGACCATATAGGGTACCAGGGATGGAACCTAGGTCAACACGTGACATGTGCCTCCCTGCCTCCTGTATTATTGCTCCAGCCCCTGGACAGACTGTTTAAAAGTTCTGTTTTCATCTGTCATTAAGTGATCCTTTTTTGGTTTGTTTTTTGAGCCACACCCAGCTGTGCTCATGGCTTACTCCTGCCCTTGAGTTCAGGGATTAATCCTAGTGGTGCTTGGGAGACCATATGGGGTTATCAGGGATTGAACTGGGTTAGACACATGCAAGGCAAGTGCCTTAGTTATTTATTATCTCACTGGCCTCCTATCACGTGATCTTATAATCTTTATTAGATTTATCAAATTAAAGGATAGAGATTTTACTGACTGGCCAATACCGGTCAGTCAGATTGATATTTTTTTCTCAATTATAAGTGATTAAATTGATGGTTAGATATGTCTGTCTCATGTGTAGCATAAACCATTTTTTCTTTGTGCCTTTTCTCTGGTTAGTAAGCTATTCCATTGTGTTTTCAGAGTAATAGAACTTAGAAAATAAACATTGAAGTATAGAAAAAATAACAATAATTGTAAATGTCTTGCAGACAATTACTATATCTTTTTTCTCCCATTCACTAATTCACTATACTTTTATCTCCAATATCTGGGAAATGTTTTCCAAGTTACCTTTTGGATTTTTCTGTTAGACATTTAAGATGTCTTTTGAACCAACTTATCAAGCTGATGTTCTTTCTAACAGTTTTGACTTAGGGATCAAAACTATTTCTTTTTTTGAAGTTAATCGTCTTGGATTAAAGAGAAAATTCTCTGAATCCTTTTTCATTCCTGGAATTGTGGGCATTTCCACATTTTCTGTCAGAATATTTTTAGAAAGACAACATTTAGTTCGTGGTCCATATTTATACAAAACATATAACAGTCTATTTTTTTTGTTTTTTCACTTTGCCCCCAAAGAGTTTCTATACCAATCCCCTATTCTCTGTGTTAGAACTTTTCTGTCTGTAAGAATTTAGGATTTCCTGTAAAACAGAATTTTAGATAAATTCATCAGAGAATAAAATGTGATTTGGGAGTCAGAGAGATAGTACATGACTTAACTACTTTCGTATGGTTAAGTTTACATGTAGTTGACCTCATTTCAATCCCTGGCACCACCACATATGGTCCTCAGAGACCACCAAGAGCGATTTCTGAGCACAGAGTCAGGAGTAAGTCCTGAACACCTTCAGGTTTTGCCTGGACCACATTCCCGCTTTCCCTCACCTCTGCAAATAAAGAAAAGGTGATTTATCATTATCATAATAATATTTTCTTCTTTTGTTACACTTCAGTTCTTACTCTTTCTTATCAAAGCCCAATGGGCTTCCTTCCCTTGAAAGGAATCATCTTCTAGAAAAAATGTCTCAATTTTGTGCTTAACAACCCTTTTTGTTTGATAGGTATAAAGTTATTACCAACCTAACAAATAAATCATGTATTCAATTTATTAATGTATTTAATTACTGAAAAATTTTACAAGCAAACTGTTCTCCATGTACTTTTTAAAAATTTTTTTTTAATTTTTAAATTTTTATTAGTGAAACACAATGAGGTACAGTTGTGCACTTACAAATTTTTGTGCTTGGGTTTCAATTATACAATGATCAAATACCCATCCCTCCACCAGTGCCCATTTTCCACCACCACGGGTCCCAGTATCACTCCCACCCCCCATCCTCCCCATCCCACCCTGCCTCTGTGGCAGGGCATTCCCTTTTGTTCTCTTTCTCCTTTGGGGTGTACTTTTAACTATTTCCTTGTGCTTATCTACACAATTATCAGCTATAGGTTTTGACTTACAGATATTTGTGGCAGTGAGGAACTGCTTCTCTAAGATCACGGTATTGCAGGCTTCCAACCGTTGACTTGGCCCCTGCTATCCTTGGCCTTGGGTATTAGTCTCATACTGATTTCTTTTATATCCCACCAATGAATGTAGTCATTCTGTATTTGTCTCTGTCCTTCTGACTCATTCACTCAGCATGAATGTCCATCCATTTATAAGCAGATTTCATGACTTGCCACAAGTGACTTTGGACAGGAACTGAGTGTTGAAAGTAGGCAAAGGGATATACCTACTGTATCTGTATTGAAAACCATAATACCCAAGCCAGGGGTGAGAGGGGAAGAGGAGAGAAGGAAGGAGGGAGAGGGAGAGAAAGAGAGAGAGAGCCTAGCATTGGGGTGGGAGGG